GGGCCACGGAGAAGCCAGGCAGAGCCCATAGGGACGAGGCCAAACCGGAGAGCCCGTGTCCGAGCCGGGGCCGGACGGGCGCTCAGCAAGCGGGAAAGCCTCTATCAAAAGCAGTTGCAAAGGGGACAAGGGGCAGCCCTCGCCTCTAGCTGTCTTCACAGCAGCTCTCACCAGGGAAGGATCTGACCTTCCAATCAGACAGCTAAACCACTTACTACACCCCTTAACCCGCTTACCTTCCACAGGAGGATGTGCTGCAGAAGCCCCAGCTGTTGCCACCCTCCATCAGGAGGTCTCCATCCACATCCTCATGTTTGGGGGCCTCCTCAAGTCACCCTCACCTCCTCTGTGGAGACTCTTAACAAGTCTTCCTCTAGCTCCTCTTTCATTCCTGCCTGCCAGAATTTACTACTGAGGAACACTGCCAGTGATGGCAATTCTACCACAGCGCTCACTGAAGTATTTTTCTCCCAGTGATAAATTATCCTCTTGCAAGAAAAAGAAAACAAAAAAGCCACTTTGTTTCTGATGGCATGGCAGTCTTGCTTCGCCTTCACTTTATTTATCTTGCAGATTGCAGAGCAAAGTTTTACTCCTAGCAGACAGTCCTAAGCCATAACGGAGTCGCCTTGGCCTTTCCTGCAATCCACCCTGTGGATGATTTATTTATTATTAAGCTGGTTTTTGGTTTTTAATTCAGTAACTGCACTTGCCTGCTGTGTAGGCCCTTGCAGCACCAGCTAACCAGTGCTCTTCCCTCCAAAACAGCCTTTTGAGCTCACGCAGATGGGTCTCACTTTGCATTTCCCTCATTGCAAGCAGCAAACTTGTCCGCAGATGTGGAGGCTCTCAAGCAGCGCGTTCTCTGCAAACCCATTTTCCCCGAGGCTACCACAGAAGGGCTCCTCAGGGCCACAGAAACCCTCCTCGAGATCCCGTTAAGGCCCATCTGGGCCACGCTGCCTCTCCCGGACAATCCGCCGATTATCCGGAACCGCAGCCTCGCCGGGGCTGCGTCTGTCTTGTGACCTCGCGCTTTTAATCCAACAAAAGATCACGCAGCTCCAAGTCATATGCCGAGAGCCATCGACGTGTATCACAGCAACACGCTGGAACATTTAACTCTCTGTTCTTCCCCCGGGTGAGGTTATGTGTTCGTTTTACAGAAATCACTGTGTTTTCATGCAAGCTGACCAGCGACAATCTCACTGCCTTCCCTACAGAATATTGCATTATTTCGCACAGATTGCATCACGGGCTCCCCTTTCCTGGTAACCTTTGAAGAGGGGCCAGTGTCGGGATTCCCTGACGCGCTGGCAAATCTTACTAACTCACTGCAGTTCTGCAGGAACAGAGCACAAATCGTCCAGCTCTTTTCAGAACTTCTGGACCTCAGTTCTCTGAAGCCGCTGATCTGAATAAAGCCAAAAAGCTGCTGTTTCGCAGCTGAGTCGTTAAAAGGCTGAGCTGCTTCCTGAGCTCTTCAGACCATGGTCCTGCTCCCTTGTGACAGCGGAACCGAAATACGTAGGGATCGCTGCAGAGCTTCCCATGCTGGAAACCAGAGCAACCCCCACACGCTGCTTGCAGGGAATCCCTCGAGCCTCCTCGCAGCAGGATCTTACCCAGCACTTATCCCCCACCGCAACCCAGAAAAGCTCCCGTTTTGTGCCCGAACGGATGCCCTTTTTGCCAGCAGGGTTTTGAGGCTGCCGCAGGCTGCCCTGGGCGCACGGCAGCGCATGGGACCGCGGGCATGTCTGGCCCCTTCGCTCACACGACAGCGGAGCTGCTCTCTGCCCCGGTGACTCTTCCCTCGTGTCTGGTTTTCGGATGCCACCAGGCAGCGGTTGGTGCAAAGGCCCCGGCATCTCCCTGGGAAAGGCGCGGGCGAGTGATGGGTCTGGAACAGGCACACGAGGGCACCCACGGGGCTGGGTGTCACCAGCTGCGTCTCCAGCACGGGGAACCTTCTGCTTTCTCAAGGATCATCAGCGCAGATAACACAGCACACTAAATCCTGGCCTGCTGCACAGAGCGCGGCGCCTTCCCGAGCTCTTCCCTGCGAT